GGGGGGGGGGGGGGGGGGGAGTGGGAACATGTTTCCTATCTACCGCGTTTATCCACAATAAATATCTTTCATGTCAATTGCAGAGGAACACTATTGCCTTTAGATCTTCTGTGTGAGCAAATGCCTCTCAAATTCCTTCCACGGTGGAAGAAGACAAGGTTGGCGTGCCGGACCAAGAAGGCCTTTTGCGCTCATCCAGCAAGGCCCTTCTGAAGACTGGCAGAGCGCCCGACTGAGCAGACAGAATCCATTTCAGTTAAGACCTTGTCAAAACTTCCCTTGTTTAATGGAGTAAAACAGGTTCCCCAGAACCCAAGCCACAAAGCCATTTTGGAAGAGAGCTGTTCAAGAGGACAGGGTCCTCCCCCCCTCCGAAAAAAAGTCTTCCTCTGCACTGCTGTTGCCAAGCAACAAGGAAACAGGGCATTTGCCCTGCACTGTCAAGGAGTACCCCACATGTTAGGGCTCCGTGGAGAAAGGCCGGCTCATTTTCCTTTCATTCACGAGGAAGATTGCATTCACTTTTCAACGTCTTAGAATAAATCAACCTGCAATCTGCACCCCTGGGGTACAATCTGCCGACCGCGGCTCTGCAAACATCCCAGAATGCCAAAAAGGAAACAAGACAAAGTCCACGCAACCTGACCCAAAAGGTTGTGATCTAATTTTAAGATGAACTCATCCAAAAGAGGAACAAGCCAACATCCTCTTTCAGGACGCTCAAGCATTTTCCCGAGGCGTCGGGTAGCGGATGGGGCTCTAACCGTTGGAACATAATCAAACCAGGCTGGATTTCCATTAATTAAACACTTTTCCATCAACTGATCTACAATCAGTTCTGTAGTGCCATCTAGTGGTAGATGGGTGCAATGCCTCAGACAGAGCCAACAATACCCCTGCACTCTCTTCCTGAATCTTTTCACCGCCAGTTTCTCAGCCTGACAATATCAATAAAACTATTTAATTCTTGAAGTACAGAATGTGGAAGGGGGGGAGGGAAATTCCTGAAATTCTCCCCGTCTGCTCCACTCACTACTCTCCCGCCCACAGTGGACTAAACTCATCCAGCCCTACGTTGAGTTTTCTCCTATTTCTCTTCCCAGCCTCCCTCTCTTGATTTGCAATACAGGTAGTCCTCGATTTATGAGCATTCATTTAACTACCCTTCAAAGTTACAACACCACTGAAAAAAGTGACCGGTCCTCGCACTTACGACCATTGCAGCATCCCAGAAGTCACGTGATCAAAATTTGGGTGCTTGGCAACCGGCATGTATGTATGACAGTTGCAGCGTCCCAGGATCGCATGACCACCATTTGCAACCTTCCCAGCCAGGTTCCGACAAACGAAACCAATGGGGAACCACGCAATTCACTTAACCATGTGATTCACTGAACGACCTCTGCAAAAAATGTTGTAAAATCAGGTGCGGTCATGTGATGCCTCGCTTAATGACCGCACTGCTTAAGGACAAATTTTTCAGTCCCTAATATGGTCATAAGTCAAGGACTACTTGTATAGCTAGCTGATAGCTACCCCCTCCCAGCCTGATGCATACAGTAACTGCAAATGGGCTGGGGGCCCTAGCAACCGGATACGCCCTGCCCACTTAACCACTCCATATGAAAACCATGCCATAAACATAACTGCATGCAACACACTGCCCACCAAGCCCATGTTGTGTAACCCAGGCTTTAAAAAAAAAATTCCTTACTTACAAACGCAACCGAGGTTCCACACATCTGACAAAGTAGTCAAAGTCATCATCATCTTCTTCATCCCAGCTCCGCCAAATGTGCTTATAGAAAAACCTGTAGATCCAAAAAAGTAAGCTAAGGGACCGCAAGATTCACAAGGCAGGGCAGATGAAAAATATGGCCTTGGTTCACACGTGACATTAAGCCCTGGTTTGCCTTAATCATTGTTCACTGAGTAAGCCACAACCAACAGGCGTCCACAGAATGCCCAACAGGCATTCTGAATGCCCCCAACTCTAAACCACATTATGGCTTCCTACAATGTGTAAACCTTTTCTAGATGACTATCCATAAGTCCTAGTAAGAAAAATTCCGGTTTCGTCAGAATATTAATGTCTAAAACTCTCTGCATCGCCGTACGTATTTGTGTCCAATATATTTTCGCTTTCTCACAAGCCCACCATGCATGACAAAATGTCCCTTCATGTTTTTCACATTTCCAACAGTGATTAGAAATACCTTTATACATCTTAGACAATTTCTCAGGGGATATATACCAAGGGTGCATCATTTTATAAAAATTCTCTTAAATTATATGGCAATATGAATTTCAAACCTTTTAACCTCATTCTCTCCCATTGGGCCATTTGAATACCATGTGTAAAGCTAACCCTAGTATTTTATCTTGACTTCTGGCTGGGCCAGCTTTCCTGGTGTCTTTGCTTTCCCTTTCATTTCTTCATCAGTGTTATCGCCAGTTTTCACACTTTCGCCCCGCAGGCCATGTGGAAAATAGCCATTGTAGCCAATTCCTTATCTTGTTCCAATATTACTTCCTGCCCCTGGCAGGGGGTCCCTAACAACTCGGTGCATAAGTGCTACTCACCTTACAATTCTTTTTTAACTACGAATGGGAGGGAGAGATTATAATTTTTGCATGCCAAGTTTCCTTCTTGCAAGCTATTATGTGTTAAAGGACCAGCTTTAGAGAGGGGAGAAGCACCAGCTGTGTTCACGCAATGTGATGAACCCGAAACAAGCCAATCGCCTTTTGGTCCAGCCGCTTCTGCAACTTCAGCTTGGGGAGCTAGCTCATGGCTCAATCATAGTGCAAATCCCTAAAACTTTAGGGCACCCTGATTAAGTTAAGCACGGGTAAGCACTGTACGTGAACACGGATCAAGCTTCTTCTAAAGACAAGGCCCTACACCTGTTTTCAAAAGGTTTCTACCCAGAATGATTTTAGATTTCCAGCAAGATCAAGCTATCCTTTTTCTAACAGTTTGCTGCATAAAGAGAAAGGGACAAGAAGTTAAAGAAAAGTGGGGGGGGTGGGTGAAAAAGACAAAGGTATCTATTTTGGCTGTGGCTCCATCCACTGTTTCAACTCTACCCATAAGTGACAGCATGAAGCTTGCGGAAGATTTCCTAAAGGAAATGCGGCCAGGGAAGGGAAGGGAAGGGAAGGGAAGGGAAGGGAAGGGAAGGGAAGCCTTGCTCCCAGTCTCCCAGAATTTACATACACCAGACAGAACTAGTCAGAAACTTGAAACTACATCTCTCCCTCACCCCCAGGCCAGCACAGTCTACCTGACATGCTCTATAGCAAGTGCCGTCTGGTCAAATTCTCCCGATTCGTCAAACACGACCCACAGCTCCTGCAGCGGCAGCTGGTACTCCTTCACTTCCAACAGCGCGCACACGTGCTCCGAGGTGAAGCCCGCCTCTTGCACCTTGCACCGGAAAGGCTGGGAGAGGCGAACCACAGCCTTCAGGGACGCATATTCCACATCGACCACCTGCCGGGTTAGGAAAACAAGAAAGCACGCAGTGAGCGGTTTTCTTCCCCCTCTGGAGCAACCTCGCCCTAAAAGGAAGCAAAGTCTTATTTGCAACAGCTTATAAGGAGTTTGGCAGCACCAGACTTGATCTGCAGAGAAAGCAGCTCTTGGGGAGAAACTGGAGCACCCCAGATGTGGTTCAACTACAGTTCCCAGCAGGCCCAGCCCATGCTAAAGGGTGATGGGAATGGTAGTTCAGCAATTTCCCGAAGCCACGGGCCGAACCCCTGTACAGAAGGAAACCACGTATTGATTTATAGAATTTGCTATCAGCTAGCGTGAAATTTTATTTTTATTTAGTTATTTCTTTATTAAATTTGTACGCTGCCCATCTCCCCCAGAGGATAGATAGATATAGGAGGATACATATCAATAGCAGCTAAGTGTTGGGCTTGAACTGGGGAGACCCAGGGTCCAGTCTCCAATCCATCAGGGCGTTCACTGGATAAACCCTAGATTAACCACAATCTCTCCACCACCCCACTTCTCAGGATTGGGAGAAGAAAAAGGGAGAAGTCCTATCGCTCTCTCCTTCAATAGCTGGCTGGGGAATTCTGGGAGTTGAAGTCCACCCATCTTAAAGTGGCTGAGGTTGAGAAACACTGCCTTAAAGAAAAGCAATACAGAAATAAATACGCCCACTGGCATAGGATGGCCATTTGACGAAAGTCATGGAGCTGTGATGGCCAGCTTAAATCTCCATTTCTCAAGGGTTTCCAAGCAGTCTGTGTTGGAATCACAATGCCCTTTTTCTGATATATCAAACTGTAAGGAGATGCCTGCTGTGAGAAGTCACATTCAAATCACAGGGACTGGTATGGTACCTTCCTTCCTACGACCTCCATTTTCTGCTTCCCTTGTTTCCACTAAGAAAAAAAGATCAATCCATTTGCAGTTGCAGGCAGTTTGCTTAGCAAAGACTCTATGTCCCTTCAGAGCAATATGAGATCTTCAAACGGAAGCTGCACGTTGAATATTTTAGGGCAACCTGACCAGCAAATCCATCAGAAACAAGATGAGCAAAGCCGTAGGACCTAATTCACATATTTTTATAAGTTGGGCAACCTGCAATACTTCCATCTCTTCATTCCTACAATCCAGAGCAAGCGAGTTTGGGATCACTACCAACTTGGCCAAACTGTTACGTTGCATTCACAGGATCATTTCCACTTTAGACCACCTCCGTGACAAGGTCACAATTCCAACATTCAATGATTTTTAAAAGCCCAAGGAGTCAGCCTAGCCTTTTGCTAGTATCCAGTTCATCTCTCCACCCTTGGGTGAAAAAGAGTCAAATATGTACATGGAAAGATTGAAACGTGTATGCATACTGTCAGGTTCAGCCCAAAGAACTCCACGAGACAGTGCAAATACAGTTCTGTTGCATTTATTAGCTTCCACCT